TCTCTTTCTCTCTCTTTCTTTCTTTCTCTTTCTCTCTGCCTCCCTCCCTCCCTCCCTCCATCTCTCTCTTTCTCTCTGTTACTCTCTCACATTCCCTCTCCCCCTCCCTCCCTCCATCTCTCTTTCCCCATCCCTCCCTCCCTCTCTCCCTCCATCTCTGTCTCTGTCTCTGTCTCTCCTCCACCCACCACCCACTTTTCTATTACTGCTGGGTTTCCCCTTTGGCAACACATTCCTGTTTGACAATTGACTTTGCAATCACAACTTGGAGATGAGCCTCAGGCGAGATTGTGGATGAGTTACCCTTGCCATTTTGTAGGCAACTGAGTTTATAATACCCGCAGCGTTTCCAAAGGTGACGGAGCTGCTGCTTCCGTGTGGGGCTGAACCCACCTAGGGCTGGCAAACAGGAGGCAGCAGGCCAGCCTCGGAGTAAAACTACTTTGAGTAGTTTGCCCTTTCGAAATATCAAACTGCTGGATAGGCAGAAAGGCTCCCGGGGGAGATTCCGACTTCAGAGTTCAGATCCTGCTCCGATCTATAGTAGCTAAAGAGCTGTTGTGACTTGATAGCCCGTTTAGCAATGTGTGCACGAGAACAGGCATGGCACCCTGAAAACTGCAGCATCCGAGTGAAAGTCTTTGGGGCTATTTGAAAAGGGGGCTGGATTTGCAGGGCCAAATGCTAAGAAATAAAACAAGCCCTCCAGTGTCTAAAGAAACTGGTCCTTCTGTCAGGTCTTCTGCTTCCTTGCTTTTTGTCTCACAATTTAGGATGGTCTTTTCCATTGAAGGATCCTACCATCGGCAGACTTTTGAAGGAGGAGTTGTAGGGCTGCAACATTTTCAAGCAAGGAATACACCAGAAACCAAAGATAATGGCCTCCTCCTCCTCCTCCTCCTCCTCCTCCTCCTCCTCCTTCTTCTTCTTGAAGGAGGAGTTGTAGGGCTGCAACCTTTTCAAGATGGAGGGCAAGAGAAGAAGGGGACGACAGAGAATGAGGTGGCTGGATGGAGTCACTGAAGCAGGAGGCGTGAGCTTCAATGGACTCCAGAAGATGGTAGAGGACAGGAAGACCTGGAGGAAAGTTATCCATGGGGTCACGATGGGTCGGACACGACTTCACAATTAACAACATAACAACAACAAACCTTTTCAAGCAAGGAATACACCAGAAACCAAAAATAATGACCTCGAGGAGGAGGAGGAGGAGGAGGAGGAGGAGGAGGAGGAGGAGGAGCTTCTTCTTCTTCTTCTTCTTCTTCTTCTTCTTCTTCTTCTCACACACCCCACTCTGTTCAATTACTGATGATACCTAGTTGGGTAAGGAAACATCTGCAAGAAAACAACCAAGCTCAGAGAGCACCAAGGATCCCACAGTCCTTCTTCCTCTTCCTCTTCCTCCTCCTCCTCCTCTTCCCTTTATGGACAATGATTCAGTTCCTTATCATCAGATTCTTACACTTAAACCACGGAGACATATCCAACTCTGTAATTACACATGTTTATCCCATCGTGTTCCTTTGATCATTAAAAAAAAGTAGTATTTTTCCTTCTGCAAATCACGATCACACATTTGTGTATGTCTGTTGGTACACACATACAGCGTTCCATAAAAGAATGTAATTTGTGATACACGCTAATTAAATTTCAGTGTTGCCCAATAGCCATTTGCCAATCATATTTTTTCCTGTAATTACCATGGGTAAGAAATACGTATGAAGATGAATCGTCTTTTAATAGCTTCTCCCATAAACGAAATGTCTGTATTAATAAAGATTTGCTCTAAAATATCTTTGACCAGTGCTTGACTGGTTATTAATGGAACTTGCCCGGGCATTGAATTCCTTGCATGTTGCAATAAAATAATAATTTATTGAGCTACAAAAGACAGGCTTCTTTCATCTTAGTCTGGAATGTATGTTAAAAGCTTTTTTTTTCTTTTTCTTTTCTTTTTTTGAAAGATGTTCAAACGACTAACTTTTAATGCATGACCTTAGCCAAGCAGAACCGTGATAGAACGGCACTATTAATGCCACCTGGATTATCAGCAGAGAGGACAATAAGTGAATAAATGGGTTAATTACAACCACCACACAGAATTTAATTAGAACATCTCTATTCCTGCCAGAATCTCAATTATCAGCTTCTACTACCTGGAGACTGCGACTATATGGGTGTCAAAATTTGCTCTGGGCTTAACATTTGACAGAACTGTGCTTGGCTCAGAGGCTAAATTATTGTTTTTTTCCCCTCCCTCTCTTTTATCTTAATTAAAATTAAAGAAAATATTAAAGAGTAGAGTTTGGATTGTAAGGATCC